ACATCAATACATATTTTTAAAATTCTACAAATTATAAAAAAATCAAACAAACATAATAAACTATTTATACCCTCAGTGAGAACTACTATATTAACTTGATAGGCTATTTTACACAGAAGAAAGCTATAAATGCTCTTTGTAAACAAGCATGCCCACTACAAGTTGGAGCTCCTCCTGAGCCATGAAAGAGAGTATCACATCTAACCACAAGGGGGCGCAGGAGAGCAACAGGCACTCCTGAATTCTGATTATTCACCGCAGTATCTATCTACAGATCTCTCAAAGTATACACATTTCCAAGACTGTTTCCGAATTCAGGTCTCCATAGGACACTGCTCGGCAAGCCAAGAGCCCTGCCAAGACCACACTATATTATTCTATGGTTCAAAATCTGGAAATATTGTATAAAGAAAAGGTTGTTGTCTGTATATAAGTAACACTGATGTTTCAAAACCCATGACTAAAATCCCTGGAGGACTCCTGAAGCAGGAACACACACCACAAACACACACCCTGAGCCGTAAGATGCGGCCTAGGAGAAGTTCAGAACTTCCAGTGGGGGTCCTAAAGTGATCTCCAACCACACAATGAGTCTCAAGGTTAGCAGGAGGAATTTTACTAGGATAGAAAAGGCTTCAACAATCCAATTGCTTTGTAATAACAGGAAATTGCCTCCACACTGAACAGAAGTGGTTTCTGGCAGTTTTTTGGGAAAACTTCATAAAGAATATTGGGGAGGAGCCGTTAAATCATAAAACACTGGTAACCTTAAAGAGATCATGAAGCAAGCTGATTGTATAACTTGCTGGAATTCTCCCTATGCAAATTACAAATTACACCACTGTTTGAGGTGTTGAAGTTCTATGACACTGTATGTTCATAAGAGACGAACTATTGTCACCAATCTTTCCACAGGAAACTTGGTAAATATGAACCATTGTAATAATATTTTTATAAATAATATATTATTGTAGACATTAAAATTATGATGCTACTCCACACTAATGTGTTGTCAGGAACTCAGCTTTAGCATGCTGAATCTAAAGCCTCCTTATCATTAAGGGAAGGAATTCTTAGATTTGAATTTCTTTCCCTTAAGATTATATGCCAGTAAAGGCCAACCAGCCTTGCCCCACCCCCATTCCCGTGCATAATGAAAACATTTTTTTCTCCAGTACTTATAATTGCTTGGATGGGATTCTGATTTCAACTCTCCTGTACTATCTTTTCCCCAAAGATACCTTGTTTTTCTGCTCACACTAGAGACCCTTAATAAACAATGTCAGAGGGGAAAAGGCTTAGGGTTGAAACCAAATGCTTTGCCAAAAGTATGTGATGGTGGGTTTTTTGTTTTTGTTTTTAAAAGAAGGCCTTCAGATACATAAAACAGTCACACCAAAACAGGTAAATATAATTTGCTAGAGCAAATCTGTGAAAATAAAATTTCATCTTAATTAAAACCTTCTAGGTTTTGTTAGCCAACTAACTTGTCACTGAATAAAACTAACAAAAAGTAAGTATGCTACATTAGGAAGTGTTTTTATGAAAGTGTTTTTAAAGGATATTATTAATTTTTAATCTCCTCTGTTTTCAAATTGGGAATGCTTTAATACTGTGAAAAATCACTTAAAAGAAGACATGGTTTATAGTCCTCAAAAATACAGAACATACTTTATCTTCCAACTTCTACATGCAACCTAAAGAGAAAAACCAGAGAAATATTCTTTATTTACTTACTCAATGAGTAAGTCTAAACATTGTACTATATAGTCTAAATCTGAATTCCTCAAAAGAAAACTATCCCTAAAAAGAAGAGTATCACACTTCTATAATATGACATATGAGTATTAAAATTTAAGGTACAAAATAAAAGAAATAATACTTCAGAGATGCGTGAGAGGGAGGAAGGGCTTCCTTTGTGGTTCAAAGGTAAAGAATCTGCCTGCAATGCAGGAGACTTGAGTTCAATCCCTGGACTGGGAAGATCCCTGGAGAAGAGAATGGCTACCCACTCCAGTATCCTTGCCTGGGAAACCCCACAGAAAGAGGAGCCTGTGGGCTACAGTCCATGGGGCTGCAAAGAGTCGGACACAACTGAAGCAACCAACACACATGAAAGGGAAGAAACAACTATTCTACTATGTAAATATCTATTTCATATAAGTAATGTACATATTCAGAATGTTTAGTTAATTCTAAAAATTAGGCAGACTCCTGGTAAGGTTTTACAAAGACAACTTAACTTCATACACTTGAATAATTCACAGAGTAGAAAAAGGAAAGGAAGATACAAACTAAGCTTGAAGGCAGTGAATGATACTTTGTAAATATGGCAGCCCTTCTTTAAAAAAAAAATTACTTTGGGGCTATTTTGAGATAAAAAGTATTTCTTCCTGAGGATTTCTGGGCATTGATAACTAATGACCCACAGAACTTTACATAAAGTCACTCAGTCAAATATAATAAAAGTAATTAGAGTACCACACTGAAAGCAATAGTATTTATTTTCTAAGGAAACTACCTCTCAGAACTTCAACCTGTAGGAGCTTCAAGGACCTTTAAGGAGACCTTGCCTCCACCCCACCCCACTGCCACCCCTGAACATTCTGTTCACCCTGCCTATCTTTAGAGGCTTCTGAAGCAAGAAGGCAGATGCCGCTTGAGGAACCAACGTTTTGAATTTGCTAACCAACTACTGCTAGACAGCTAACAACCATCATCAGGTAAAATCTATTTTATTTTCTATTTCTGGCCATAATAAAAATATTTTTAAAAAGCAGTCTGTTAAAAAAAAAAAAAACTATTCAGAAAAGACCATCACCAGGTTCATGACAAGCACAGAGGCAGTGCAAAAATTTCTTCATCAGCTACAGACCACGGGGCTCAAATTCCTCTGCCAGACCCATTTTCTGTGACAGCAAGGAAGACACAGAAGTACACACGCATGGAAGTTCCCTCCTCAAGAAAAGGGAAGAAATCTGAAAAGCAAATCTGTATCAAGTATTATTAAAAAATGGAACAACTACTAAAACAGGTTCAGATTAAAACAGTTGCCACCTCGTTATCTCATTGGCGTGGCTAGAATTTTATGCAAACCTGTTCTGGAGTAGAGATGACCTTGGGACTTTCAGATTCCCTGAGTTTAACTCAACACTTCTGAACACCAGGGTGGGGTACTCCAGCCGGCCTGCCTGAAGCCGGGGAGCTGTGGCTGGCGTGGAATGATAAGCAGTCAGCCAGAAGAGCAGAGCAAGGGGCTAAAGGTTGATCAGCAGCAAGTAACGTTTCATTATTTAATTTTCTGACCACAGGCACCATTCAAGGCACCACTTTTTACTTTTGTTGAACAGGTTCAGAGACAGCTGAGTGAGTGAGTGGCTGGGGGGGTGTGTGTGTGTGTGTCCTGAAGAGTCAGAAGCCCTTCCCCTTCACTGTTCTACTTTATGAAACTCCTCAGAAGCACACAAACGCCTGGTTTAGCCTCGTCTTTTCAGTTAACAACCTATGAAGGTTTTCAAAAGGAAGAAAAAAAAAAAAAGCTTAGGATTAAAGAGAAACTCTGCGAAGCTACAGGTTTCTGCAAGGGGACAGAGATAGTAAGGCCAGACATAAATGAGTGTTCGGCACAGAGGTCTGCTGCTTGCTACCCGGAGTTACCAGAGAAACAAAGCTGCCTTTGGGCACCTAAAACTAGTCGGACCTGCTGTAGCAGTTGCGCAGTCGGCCGGCGCTGTCCCCCGCTCTCCTCCCTCCGCCCCCGCCCCCCGCGTCCGCAGGGCTCACTCCACTCGGGGCGGCGCCGGGCGGGCACACTCGGCCCTGCTTCTGCTGTCCCTGCTCAGGGGCAGGCCCGGCTCTGGACACGGGCGTGCAAGTGTGAGAGGAGGCCAGACGCGACAGCAGATGCCGACTCCATTCCGAACTGAAAGCTGCAGTGGGTGCAGAACACGGCTTCTGTGCTCCCGGGTTGCTAAGACAGATACACCAAATTGTGGGACTGGCTGCTGGGACTCCAGGCAGGGATTCCCCTTTAAGTTCAGAGGAGGGACGGGAGACCTTGAGAGGAGACGAAGGAGGCTTTCTAGCTCCTGGGGCCCTCCGACCACAAAGAGAGCTGAATTCCCTTCCAAAAGGGAGTTTTCATTGTCTGTCTGGGGTGCTTGTTGAACTGACATGCATCTGTTTTGTCCTATGAGCAATCATATGTTTGCAAAGATATTCTTATGTTTTTATTTTCGAATTTCTATTTCAAAGAAAATTTTTAGACAGCCAAGCATGTTTTGTTTGTCTCATGATCTTCAAGGAAAAAAAAAAAAGCCAACAAGGCGTCCATTTATTACCCAGAATAGGAATGTCGTCTTTTTGGCCTGACATATGCCATTCACAGATTCATACAAAGAATGAACTGCCACACAGTGCTCATAGAGAAAGACACTGCTCCACACAAGGAGTGATGGGCACTCTGGGGGACAGTGCTGCTCACAGGACTGCCCGGCATCTGTATAGAGGGCAGAAGTTTGCCTTTAACGCCAATTGCACTGGCCATTGGAGACAATCATTTTGTTTAAAAGATATGCCAACTCTGGTGAGCTGCTCTTTCCTTCAAGAATATTAAAGCTAACTATATGTAAAGTAGATAACCAGTGGGAATTTGCTGTAAGACACAGGGAGCTCAGTTGGGGGCTCTGTGACAACCTAGAGGGGTGGGATGGGGTGGGAGGTGGGAGGGAGGTCCAAGAGAGAGGGGACATATGTGTACCTGCCACAGGCTGCTTCATGCCGATGTATGGCAGTAACCAACACCGACATTGTAAAGCAATTAGCCTCCAAGTGAAAATACCTTTTAAAAAAAGATTTTTAGAATTAAATTAAGTATCCACACATTTCTTTAAGCAGGAGTCCTAGCTTGGGGGTTTCTGTCGGCTGTTAAAAGGAATAATTATTAACAGTTGGTAGAAAAGACATGACTTGTGCATATGCGGTGGCCACCACATTTTTAGATGATCCTGTTCTGCTGGTCAGTGCTGATTAGTGGAAAGACCCTGAAGGTGGGTGTTACCCTTATTTCAAGGTAATTTTCACTTAAAACTGGAGCTTGCCCTCTGGTGCCTTGAGCATACACCTGATCTTTGCACTCAGTAATCAGAGACACCTCTCTCTTCCCCTTCCCCACCCCTGCTTTGCCAAGAAACTACTGCAACTACAGCCATTTCCTACAGGACAGGCCGTAACAGTAAATATGAAATTTCTGTAGCAACAGTTTTAAAAAATTCTACAAGTGAGTTAAGAGCTCATACTCCAAAATATCATATTAACCTACACATTTTTAAAGTCTATGTTACAATACTAACAAAGTTGTCTTGATTTTTTTGATATAAACAAAATATAAAATAAAACTTCATGCTTTTATTAGTATTTGTTTTTTAACAGGAAATCACAGCAAAAGAAACTTCTAAAAGTTTCTCTTGTAGCTTTTATCTCTATTAATAGTTAAAGTGTAAAATATTTTGACCATGGGCAAACTTTTACTATAACTTGTTACTGATAATTTGAAGTATGCTTTTATTTTTATTTTCTTCATCAGTTTAATTTTTGACAGAAAAAAATCTTGATTTATTTGTACATATGTACACTTGTATCTTCAATGTCCCCTTATATGTTTATCTATTTTGTGTGTGTGCACCTTTCTAAGTAGTGTTGCAACTCATTCTGCCATTGGAACACTGTTTAAAATAGCATATGCCAAAAGCTATCAGCAGCTACACAAATTTGAGTTTTAAAATATCAAAATAAATACCATTTAACTATGCTCATTATTAATAATTTAGTGCATGGCAACTGGGTAAAGTTTATATTTCAGCTTCTCAATTAAATAAAAGGCTTTCAAGGGGACAATTCCACAAACAGAAGTCTAAAGAGTTTCTAAATGTGAGCTAATATCCCTTTCTTAGTTTTTTAAGGGAAACAGGCCCGAGCAGCTGTTACCTAAGAAGCTGTGACCCTCGTCTGACAATAAAACTGTTCCCTAGGACATTCAAGTCCTACACTTGGTTGGTATTATAAAATTTAAGTCTCCTATCTATTGTAATTACCCAAGGAACAGAGCTGAATGTTTAAAAAAAAAAAAAAGAAAAAAGGCTGTCCGATCCATTTCATAAGATTTCTCACCTGAGAGCAACATGGTTATGCACATTTTAATTAGGAGAAGGGGAAAGAAATAAAGTTATTTTAAAGGGTTCCAAACTTGATGAACAACATAAACAACTTTACATTAACATATAATATCTCTAAGTAAATCAACAAAGTTAAAGGCAAACTTCCTAACATTTATCTCTCTCTCTCTTTTTTTTTCCATGAAGAAATAGCTGAAATGAACAGTAAGTGGAGATCCACGAACAAGCTCTTCTTGCTCATGCCAGAAGCTGAGATCTCAGGATGGGTATTTTCATCCTCAGAGCACACCCTACCACACTCAAATCAGAATAGACTGCTATAAAAAGGGGGAGGAGTGGGAGGAGCTCTAGGGGTGAGTTATGGCTTCTGGGTAGCTGAACAACTAGCCCCCCCCCCCCAGCACCCCATCAGCAAAACAACCCAGAGGCTCTCAGGTGGACTGTCCTCCAGGGGTTGAGTGGAGCCAAGAGCCCACTTCACTCTTGTCAGAGACTCCTCTCTAATTATAAAAGGCTACTTTGAACACTTAAGGCCTCAGGGATCCGATTGGCTAGTACAACTTCTAGGCTCTTTACACACGTTATGGACATTTCTTAACATATATTGAGAAATCACAAAGCATATTTCATGAACAAAGCTTGAAAACATTTATTATCTTCCTTAAGACCAAAGGAGGCTGTCCAGCTTGATTCAAATGAAAACTGGTACAGTCTGAGACTGGATGTCTCACCTTGCTGACTGCCCTTCCTCATTAAGTGCCTGTAAAAACTTACTCTCCACCTCCTGAAACATCCTGAAACTAACCAGCTTGGGAGCAAAAAGTTATTCTAAGACAATGATACCTAATCTTTTTGCGAAATTTAAGGCTAAACACAGAATTCTACTCCCATCTCAATCTATTACTATTATTTCTGCTAAAAGTAAGGTAACTGCTGGCCAAGGCGGGGGGGGGGGGGGGGGGAGGGGAAGGAATTTATGATTTTCTCTCGATGCAGGGGCGCTCTGACAGCACCACGTCTTGGTACAAAGTCCAGGGCCTGGGACAGCTGGCTCCCCTCGGCCCCCTCCCTCTCAGTCATAGGCGGTCACCACTAAGATGACTTGTAGATTTCTAACTTAAAAAACCAATGAGACATCAAGTTTAACAAACATACACATTCAAAATCAATTCACTTGGGCACGGGCGAAAAGAGGGCGGAGAGGGATGTTTCTAAGCTAAAACACAGGGCAACTCACAGAAATACACTAAAGCAAGCTGGATGCAAACCTGGCCACAGGACTGAAAAGTGAAGCAGCCGTCGCGCCAGCAATACGAGTCTTAAAAAAAAAAAGTCTCGCACGTTCACAACAACACAACCGCCACAACACGCACACAGATCCCAGCTGTAAAAGCGACAGCTCCGAGCTCCCTCCGCCCCACCGTTGGGCTCTGGTTAGCTCCCGACCCCCTCCTGACCCCGGTCCGTGACTGCCCGTCCCCTGCCCTTCCCCCAGCAGATCTGCCCGAGAACGCCGGGGGTCCCTGGCGCCGGCCCCGGGGGTCCAAGAGCGCGGGGCCGGGGAGCAGCGGGAGGGAGCGCTCCTCTCGGTACCTGCTCCAGCCCAGGTCCCTCGCCGAGGCTCCCGCGACCCTCGCGGCAGCCCGGGCCCCTCCTCCGCCCTCCAGGCTCACCCGGCCCTGGCCAGGTCCCAACGCTGCCCCCACCCACCCGGAGCCCCGCGCATCCGAGAATCCCCTCCAAGCCGGCGCCGGGAGAACTTACCACATGCAGCTCCACCTGGGAACTAGCACATCGGGAGGGGTTTCTGCCCACTCCTCAAGCTACTCCCGCTCCATGCGGAATCCCCCGCTCCGGGGGCCCGAGGGTGGCGCCGGGGAGCGGGCAGGAGGCGAGACCGAAGCTAAGACTCCGCCGTCCTCTGCCTGCGCGCTCGGAGCATTATACAATGGTGGAGGAGGAGGCGGCGGCGGCGGCAGGCAGCGGAGGAGGAAGCCGGAGGCGGGCGGAGGGGGCGCCCTGACCGAGCGAGCGGCAGCCAGCGCTCCAGCACTAGCTGTGCAGGAGTGACGTGCGGCCAGCGAGCCTCCCGCGAGCTCCGGGCCTCGGGCTCAGCAGGCCACGCCCTCGTCCTGCCCCGCCCCCTCGACCGCCAGGCCACGCCCCCTTGACCGGGCCCCGCCCCCTCCCCCGGCGGTCCCGGGAGGCGCGATAAATGCTGAGCGGGGCCCCGGCTGCCCCAAGAGCAGGAAGGGGCAGGCGGAGCACGCGAGACGCCGGGTGGCAACGCCGCCCACGGCTCCCTTCCCAGCCGGCGCGCCCTTGATTTTCTTAAGGAAAAGCTTAAGGAGAAGGGGAGAGGAAACGAGACACTCCGGCCAGGGGACAACTAACCACCAATAATCCCCTCAGACCACTCATGCAAATGACGGAGCCCCTAGTGACAAAGGCGGCAGCGAGTGCCGCGCGCGCACAGCCCGCTGAGTCGCGCGACCGCAAATATGACAAGCATCTCAGCTATTCTGCAACTTGGGGCCGGTTAGCCGGGCAGGCAGGGTCCCGGGGGCGAGGGGCGGGGGTGGATGGGGAAAGAGAAAAATCCGACCCCGGGGCGCGGTATCCACGCTGCCCGCGGGGTTTTCGAGACAGGCGTCCCGGGAGGGCGGGGGCCGCGCGTCCGCAGCTGAGACGCTCTCCAATGCCTGCGTCTCCGGACAGAAGAGTGGCCCTCGGAGTGTCCGAGGGGCGGGATGGGAGCTCCGGCTGGAGGTGGGGACAAATTCCCCTTGAGTGCGGTGTCCTCAGCCCAACACTTGAAATGGGTCACCAAGTCAAGAGTACTTTATCGGAACAGGACTGAAACGACTTTGCAGCCTTCGTGGCAGGCTTCGGCCGCGGTGCAAACCCGGCAGAGCCCACGCAGGTAGGGACGCCTGGCTTGGAGACGCAGGGGGGACCTAGGCGCAGTTTCACAGCGATAGCCTTTTCCTTCTCCTTAAGAAGTTCTGCTTTGAACTTCTTACATTTATCAGGGAAATTTATACTAGTTTTGGGAGGCTTGTGTGTGTGGTGTAAATTTAAAAGTCCTAGGACAGGAGACCTCCCCTGGAAAATTAATGATTATTTTAAAAATTACATGCGCATTCAGTTTAAAGATGTTACCAAAAGGAATTCAGGCACATTAAAATTTTGGCTGCCGCCCCAATCAATATCGTCTCAGATCTCTTTGGAGTTTAATGCTCCACTATACTAGTTATATTTAAGGATAATAAAGCTTTAAGACCTAACATAAAGGTGATATAAATCGTTAACATCAAGACAAGTTGAGACCTATTGGAACTGTTCAGTAATGATTTGTTATCAATCAGATTGAGGATATTATTGAAATTAAACCTGGGTTAAAATGTTGGTAGAGAAGAAAATGTTTCTAGTTTTATCTTGAAAGGAAATGAAAAAGATTTTTTACTGGACTCTCGATATAATCAAAAGGTTACACAGATTTTTCTTTAAGTATAGCCAGTGCTAAAAGCTAATGATTTGTGGATATCTTTGGAAAATTTCTTTACAGTGGCATTCCAGATTACTCATCGTGGAAGTCGTGCTTGGGGCCCTCAGCACATCCTGCTCAGTTTGTGCCTAAGTGGCACAGTATTCACAAACATTTTGCCACGAGACCAAGATATTTTTCATTTCCAGAATTCTGCCTTTCAGAGAGGACACTACTAACAGTTTCTGAACAACCCATTCACTTTAAAGAGAAGCCATTGAAATAGAAGCTGCAATAATCCTGTGATATCTCTGTAGTGGAGGCCAGAGGCTCTCTTGAATTTAAAATAAATTTAAACTGTTATTCATGAATTAAAGTGAGCAGCAAGTTAGACTTGCATAATTTTTGTGACACTTGGATATTTTCTAGCAAATGAATTACTGGAAGAACTAAAGATCAAAGTGACAATTTTTGTGTCTCCAGAGTGGACGCATGATTTTGCTAAAGCACGAATTCTGTGTGTGCTCAGTAAAGGTCTGAGTTCTAAGGAAAGCAATCTTGAGTTCTGGGGTAAAATATTTTTCACCTTCCCACACTTTTGAAGGTAAATGCCTTAGCATTTTATATATGTTATATACAGGTATCTACGTTATATATGTGTCCCACTTCCCCTACTTTGAGATTCTGGCATCTTTTACCAAGAAGTCAAAGCATGAAGTGGCCATTTGAACACCTGCTCACGTGGTCCCTCACCAGGTGGTACACAGTCCCTTCTCCTAGGGCCGAGTCCCCCACAGCCCAGCACAGCAATTCCTGCCTGGCCCTGGGAGTACAACTCCATGAGGCTAAGGAAAGGCCCTCCCAGAGCTTTTGAAGTCAACTCCCTTTAGTATGCATGATTTTTTAAAAAAAATATTGTTTATTCCTAGCAAATGAACAAGAAATGCTTAGTGAACACATAAGTGTGGTTTTCACACTTTCACTCTCTGGGACACTTAAAAGCCCATTTAAAATAATCCTACCCTCAGGATTTAGAGTTTCTCCCTTTCACTTGCACATACAAGAAATTAGGCCAGTCATCCACATTTAACTATCAGGAACATATCTGTTTAGGGAGAAAAGAAACACTGCTCTTGTAAGTATAGGACTGTGATGGTAATTTTTAAAAATACTCATGAGTTTAATTTCAGAGAGGTACTTCTCAACATTGCTTTGTGGTTCTGGGTACTAGTTTGCACTTCACTGCTTCTCTTGAAAGTTTCTGTACCCTCATGTCTTGCAAACGACCAGATGACTGCACTAACTGAAGGCCACTTTTAGCACTTAATTAATATGCACCAAAGAATTGACACAAGGACAAGCTAGCTATGTAAACTGAGAAAGACTTCACAACAGTTTTCAAACTTACCCTCTCTCATTATCTTTTCTCTTTCAAGTTTCACAAGAAATACCGGTCATAATCATCCATCTATATACCTTGGAAATATTGATCTTATGCCCCCCCCATAAATGTTTCAGTTATTAAACACAATGATATAGCCAGCTGGGTTAAATCATCTTTTCATAGAAAATACAGACAGTCTAATTGAATGTGGACTTCCCATTCACTGATCACTAAAATCTATTAGTAAATCTTCAAAATAAAGTCTGGAAGTCCCAAATCACCTAACTGATTATCAGAGAGTTGACACAGGATAGGATGACTACGAAAACGAATGAACACTCTCACAAAGACAGCACAAACAGGTTCAGTACTTTCCAGCCACTAGCAAGTTAAAACTTGACGGTACCAAAGGAGCTGGTTAACTCATCTGCCTCTGCAAAGTCTTCTCCATCTCTTTGCCCAGCTCTTCACGTCAGGCTTTCTCCTGCCTGTCCTTGCAGTCATGCTTCACAAGAACAGAGCTTCAACTCCAGTGAAGAGCCACTCTTGCAGTTTCCCTCCCTGTTACTAGGCTGCTTTGCAAGGATGGCCCCTTGTGTTCCGAGAGAGAGTCATTTTCCTGTTAGTGAACACACCTTTTTCTCTTTTAAAGATCTGACAATATTTAAATCCTAATTTAGAACAAAATCTTAATGATGATATTGGAATAAGACGCTCTTGAAACTCTTTTCTTTTTTCTGGTATCTTTGATTAGTCCCTTCTATTTCTAGACGAGATGGCTTCTGTAGAGCACGAGCTTCCTCCCTACTTCACTGGCCACTATTTCCTGGTAAAATCCTCTGATAAATGGAGTGGCTCTCCTTAGACACTCCGGCTTTTGTTTTCACCTTCTCTCAGCTGGAAAGAGAAAGCCTTCCCTGGTGAGAGTGCTCCCTTCCTGCCAGATGCTGCTCCTCCAACGGCTGGTGGGTACTCCTCAGAAAACTCTCTCCTTGTCCTCCGTTCCCCAGACAGCACTACCTCTCTGGCCTCTATATGCTGGCCTATCTGCATGTTGACCCTGGACTTCCTGTCCATAAACCATGCTCCCTTCTTGAGCAATTCACCTTCTTCTCAAGGTACCTGGCACTTCTGGCTTCCCTAGAAAACTTGTATGAATGTTAGAAATCGTGCAGCCTCCAGACCATCCTTGTTCCTGGGACCAAGCCTGATAAGAGGAAGAGTCCTGGAGTAGGAGTTTGAAGATCTTGTACGAATTAATCACTATGATTGATCATTGACTTTTTAGTTTCTTAATCTGCCATGTCACAGATTTAGGATTAGCACTGGTTCTGGTGAAAAGAGCACATGTGGTTGGGCAGAAGATCTCAAGTGTAGTTCTTCAACCACAGTCAGCAAGGAAGCTGAATCAGGGCCTTCCCATCTTGAGGGCTGTGTCCACCTCCCACCAGATGAGGCTCTAGGGCCCAAAGGTTCCTGTAGCCCCTTCCCAGAGCTAAGAGTCTATGAAAAGGTGGCTACAATGGGGACTACCTTCACAGAGGAGTTTGAAAGAATATAAAACCAACTTCACATCCTATTTTCTGACACACATTCTCATATCTGTTGTAGAAAGGATCTAAGATTGTGTACCTTTAAATCACCTATGAGTAAAGAGGTCATTTAAGAGAAGTAGGGTGATTTGGGGAGTGCAAATAACATATTTAAGCCACTTTTTGAAGTCCCAGATATAAAACTTCTACTTTAAGAAGTGAAAAAAAGGTCAAAGCTTTAATATGTATAGATGCCCAGGAAATACCTCTGACTTCAGAGTATAAAGTATGATACTATGAAGTATCATTAAAAATAAACATGTGGGCAGAGAACACAGTTTAAATGGAAACAGTGCAAAAGACAAAAAAAATGAATCACTACTTTGCCACTGTGAATTTTTATTGGTTTTCTGGAGGAGAAGGAACACTTAGCAAGACTTTATCTTTTAGTCATCAATGCAGAATTGTTCTTTAAAGACATGTTGCCAGAATAAACAAGACTTTTCCAAAGTTATCTAACTGTCCAATAATATTTGCTTTAAATTGAAAAAATATATATTTTAAATTAAAATATTTTTACACTTAAAATTTCAGAAAGGCAAAGTGAAAGCCAAGTATGAAGAAACCAAGGTAAACTATTCAGATAAACAGCAATGTTACATTAGAT